CATACTAGTTCAATGTATTCAAACACTGGCTCTTTATTATGTGTCAATTTTGACCTATCTGTTGTTGTCCATTGATCAAATTCAATCTCATCATCATCTTCAAATTCTCCAAGTATATCATAAAGTTTTTCAACCAATCCATTCATAGTTGCTGGGCCTTTTTCACGTTTGCTCATCATACAGTCTTTATTAGTTATATAACAGACAATGTAAGGTAATAATTTTTTGTATGTCACACCAAGAGGATGTAAAAGCAGTTTCAAATTCTGATGAATAGCACAGACGCATACAGAATGTGTTCCTGAGGCACCAACAGTAATACACCATTTAGGTCGCAAGGTGCAAAACCTTGAAAATCCTATTTTTATTTCTGGGTTCTTGGTTTTAAATTTTTTTCTAATGTTAACTTACGTGCAGTTCGAGCTACATTGTTTGTTACATGCAATGTTTCAGATACCTTTTTTATTGACCAGTTTGTTGGCGCAAGTGTTGCAAGTTGTACTTTTTTTGATGTTGATGTAGACTCTGCAATTTTGTTACTAAACAATACCATCATGTTATCAAACAAGTTTGCTTTTTCCATATACTCATTATTAAAAATTGACTGTTCTTCAAAACTTTCTTTTGATATATTAAGGCAAATGGCTACCTTTTTTTTAATGGAGGTTGTTAATGCTGTCAATTTTCGTTTACGTTCTCTGATTTTACCTGACTTGTGCAATCCTTTGACCTTAATTGGAGATACTCTGGTAGATGCAAAGTGTGTATCTACACTTTCTTTTTTATTTTGAATGGATCTTTTATTAACAATATCAAAATCTTCATCATTTTTATTTTCACTTATACTTTTTGATAAACATGTCATAACTTTACTTCGACAGGTTGGACACAGTTTTTTTCCAAGTATAAGATTTAAACCTATGGTTTCTGCTTCTAACACAGTATGCATTGTAATCACACACAGAGATGCTTAAAAAGAAAGTAATTACATTACTTAAATAAGATTAATTATATATATTATGTAATTATGTTACTATACAATTTGTTATATTAATAACTATGAAATATTGAACAAATCTTATTACCAAAAAAACTTATATGACTTATTAATAATGATATTATCTAATGAAATATAAATATATAAATTTTTACCTCTACACACCTTTTGGTGACTCATAAATGGATTACAGCATCTTTTCTGATTACTCTCATATCTTACAACAAACATATCATGATGGTGTGTGCATATATTAGTAATTTGTTCTTGTTTCAGATTTGTTCGTTTTTCAAGTAGCTTACGATCATTGCTGTCAATATTTTCAATCAGATTTCTTTCTTAAGTATATGATTGTTTATAACAAACTCCATAATTATTTAAAAAGTAGCAATTAATTTTGTTATCCATATAAAATATAATGAGGAATCTCTGTCTAAACACTTAATACAAGAAATCTTAAATAGTCTTAATGGCCCTAACAAGAAAAGTACACTTGAACAACAATAAATGCCTAGCTATCTACTAATTATTGTAAATTCTCCATTAACTACTTACAAAAAGTTGTGTAAAAGTAAAATATAACTAAATATAATTTTATTTAGTTATGTAACTTAACATGGTAATGTTAATTAGACATTATTATATCATTTTATTACTTATTTTATTGATGATAATAAATGTTTTATTACAACAAAACAATCAACAACAAAAGTTAGATAATATTGTTAAATTTAATGACATGATATTATGTAATGAAAATGACATTATTATTATGTAATGAAATTAAAAAGTAACAAATTTATAAAATGTTCAACTATGTTTTGTAATAACTTTGTAAATTTTTTACAAAGCTATTACAAAACAAAAATAAATGTATTTGTATTCAAAATATATTTGCAAATTTTTTCGTTTGAAGTTAGTTATTTTTTTCAGTCAAAAAATAATTAACTTCAAGTTGCTGTAAATCTTAAAGGGTTGAGAATTTTTTGAAAAAATTTTAAAGTCCTTCCTAACTTATATCTTTAAACATTTGTGCCAAACTTCAGCGAATGGTGATGCAGGGAGCAACCCCTTGAGAAATTTTTACCCTTTGAAATGTGGGATTATATATATATATATATATATATATATATATATATATATATATATATATATATATATATATATATATATATATATATATATATATATATATATATATATATATATGTAAAATATATATATGTAAAATATATATATACATATATATATATATATATATATGCATATATATATATATATATATGTATATATATATATATATATATATATATATATATATATATATATATATATATATATATATATATATATATATATGCATATATATATATATATATATATATATATATATATATATATATATATATATATATATATATATATATATATATATATGTAAAATATATATATACATATATATATATATATATATATATATATATATGCATATATATATATATATATATATATATATATATATATATATATATATATATATATATATATATATATATATGCATATATATATATATATATATATATATATATATATATATATATATATATATATATATATATATATTATATTTTTTTTTATCACCCGACAATAAATAACAGATAAAATAAATTATAATAAAACTGTCACCAATTAAATTAAAATCACCTAAAACGACACGGCTCTCGCAGTTACCATTAAATGCTAATAACCAGCCGCTGTGTTTTCCACAAATTATAGGATCAGACTTCTCGGAACATTCTTCTTCGTCAAAATTTTAAACGACTCTCTCTTTCTTTCAAATTCTAAAACTGGAACGTTTCTTTTAATATTGACACAACATCAGCTTGTAGGTCTTCGACAGGTTGCGCGAATTTAATTTTTTTTGCCATTTATCATGCACTGAACGGAGTTTAAACCAAGTGTGTTGCAGGCTTCAAACGCTTCATTTGTAAAAAAAAATTTATTCTGTATTGCCTGTAATTGATTGATTATTAGCAAATAGCAAGTTTAATTTTTCAACAGCCTGATAAAAAGATTTACTTTGTTTCTAAGCAGAATACTTGGAATATCCACTATTTTAAAAAATTTATTTAGGTAATTTTTACTGTATTTTTTGGAGATACAAAAAAATGATTTTAACACTGCTCTTCCAACAGCGTCTATTTTGCTAAGAAAACTAATATCATAATCACATAGCTCAAGACCATAAATAAGACACTTATTATAAATTTATTTCAGATTATATGCAATAAATTTATATAGATTATATAGATCTATAGAACAAACAAAATCATTAAATTCTAGCAGTGAGATAAAGGTTATTGCTCTTGACATATCATTGCATCTTGACATATTTTAGACGAAGAAAAAAAATTTGTTGAAAAAAGTTGAAACCTTTTAAAGCTTAGGTTTGAAAATCCTTTAAAGCAACTAGGTACAAAAACAGTACAGAACTTTTTAAAAAAAATCAGAAACATAAAGTTGCAGGTACCATGCCTGTAATCAAGGTGTTTTTGTTAAAAATATTATGAAAAATATTTAATTTTGTTTAAAATGACTAATGTTCGTGAATCCTTACTTAATAATTTCTTACTTAACTAATTATGCTAATCGTACTATCTATCTATAATAATTTCTTACTTAATAAATTCCTCGTATAGGAATAGTAAAATATTCCTGCTTTTCACACTTTGAAACTGGTGATTGGTAAGTTAAAATTTCATTTCATATAAATTTGGTGTCAAATGCTGTTGCATAGCTATACAATGGTCTTTGTTATACATTTTTGAATAATAATGATTGCCTAATGGCATGAACCATTAAAGTTCCATAAAAAAATGTTGCTTTTTTTATTTAAATTTCTTTTTAAATAAAAATGTTTAAAAAAAAAAAGAAAACAAAGAATAATGAAAAAAAAGATTATTGCTATAACCCAAACCCTTAGTTGATGTAGCAGCAGCCCCATGCATGTTCTCACTGGATGGTCAGTTGATGTACGTACTGAAGCTCTTACAACTACCTATTTTAGTATGATGTCTGGTGGCTTATTTATGTGCATTATACTATTTGTAAAGTTTTCTGGATTATGATAAATTATCATAAGCTGAAAATAGGGATAGGATCAGTAACGGTAACATGGAAATTTTCAACAAACTTATATTTAATATTTTATGATATAATATCAATTCACTAAGGACATAACTTTAATTTTTTAAACATTTATTAAATAAAAAATATATAAAGACAAAAAAGTAGTTTGGAAAAATTCTGAGCAAAACAATTGACAAGGCCTAACTAAAATCTTATGTGTTTTATGCAACCATCAGTATTACCAAATTTATACTGAAGTTTTTTTTAGAACTTTTAGAGATATTTTAACAAACAAATAAAATAGACTGTTGTCATTTAACTTGGAAAACATTTTTTTTTTTGAAGCGGTAAAACTTTGTCAATAATCAACATTATCAATACCATTTATCGAGCAATGTTGACTGGTTAAACGGACATTTAAAGCATTTATAAACATCATATTCATTCAAAATCCTCAAGTATTTGCTTGAATATGATTTTCACACATTCTTAAAAACCTTTATCAACATCAGAGAAAGTATTTGCTTGAATATGATTTTCACGCATTCTTAAAAATCTTTATCAACATCAGAGAAAGTTATTGCTACTTAAATATTTTTTATATCCTAAATTAAACATTCAGTAGTTTCAAAAAATAAATGTTCAGATGATTTATTTTTACATGTTTAAAAGTTATAAAAAAATTTATAAATTTTTAATAATAAACCAAATCAGACAGTGTCACTAACCACAGGCTAAAAATTTTTTAGAAGCAAAAAAATAATAGTTTAAATATACTTGTTAAAAAAAAAGTATATGCTTATGTTGCAAATCAATATTTGTGTGTGTGTGTTTGTGCGCTTTGTTTATGTGCTTAAACATTAAAACACTTACTATCTGTATTGTTCGGAAATGGAGGCAAAGTTGGTGGTGCAAATGTTGTCGCACCTAAAGGTTTAAATAATTGAATAAACTTATTTTAAAGTTCTTGAGTAAAACAATAAAAAAAATTCTTTTAATTTTTTTACCGATTTTGACTTTACAAATAAATCCATACTGTTGATCACATAAATTATCATTCCATACGCCATTGTAAAATACTTCAACACAGTCCTCATTATTGTTCAAGTTGTTAGGTTCACCAGAAACAAGATTCCAGAATCGAAAATTAGAAGTTGAATTATCAGACCACACAAAATTTCCCTCATTCTGAATGTCATTTAGTCCTTTTTAAATTAAGAAACAAGACATTTACTAAAAAAAGTATAATACATTTATGCTTAAATTTAGAAAACAAAAATAAAAGCAAAAATCTTACCAATCCAAAAACGCTGATGTTTCATTTTTGTATCTTTGAACTGATCAATAATGAATGCATTTTCTGCACTATCAGCCACACTTAATAAATTTCCTCCATAACGCTGACATGATAAAAGGGAATTATACCAGGTTTGTCCCTTTACTTTTCCTGTTATACCATGGAAAAGGTAGCAATAGCTTCCATTCTCTAACCAACCAACAGTACAGTTGCCATGATAGCTTACTAAAAAAAATTCGGCTTAGTTAAGTTACTGTGCAAATGGATTATTATTGGCGGCTGTTAGTAATGAACTCCACTGTTGTTTAGAGCTATTGCAACCGATTAAACTGAGGTACGCTGCTTTAAATTTGTTTTTTGGAGTGTTGCATTTTTGTTTTTGCTAGTATCGTTATCCTATTGGAAACCCAGATGTTTTAATTTGTTCTGAAGATAGGGGAGAGTGTGTATGAAAGAGCCAGGTTTTGAAAGACCCGTTGCTATTATATCTAACTTACTGGCACCCGACCATAATTGTATTTTACTTTTTGTGTGGCAACGCTGGATACCTGTCACCCACAAAAAATTTAGAGACTTACGACGCTATTTATCTACTAAAATAAATAGCGTCGTAAGGGTGCACTAAAAATTTTGAAAATAAAAAGTAATTTTTTGGGGGTTTACTTATTTATTTTTAAGATAAAGAATGTTTTATTATTTGATAAAACTTATATGCTGCATAGTTATATATATATATATATATATATATATATATATATATATATATATATATATATATATATATATATATATATATATATATATATATATATATATATCAGGCGCGGATCTAAGGGGTGGCCATTGTGGCCATGGTCACATAGTTTAAAATTAGATAGATTTATTAGAAAGTTTATTTATTTTTTATTAAAGATATTTTAGAACTTTTATAAATAGTTATTGAAATATTTTTGAAGATATGTTATTGAAAATAATATAAGCAATTTTAAGACTTTTTTTGTCGAGTGGTTATTGATTAACTACGTTACGCTAAATTTAAATTTCAGAAACTTCGCGGTAAACATTGCTAAAATCTCTGCAAAAGAGAGTCAAACTTTCCGTGACGTACTTTATGGAAACCCTTAACAACTTATGGCCATAGAGATTAAATTTAACGGCAGCTAAATTAGCTTCGGATTTTTTTGCTAGAGGAAAATCCCTGAAAATTTTATTGTGTCTGCCGTAATTTAAGGAACTTGGCCATAGAGATTCTTGCAATGGCCACAACGGTTCCTATTACACGTTACCGACGTTTTATTCTATCAGAAATAAATAATAAAATATAGATCTCTCAACCGTGAAAATAAAACTTGGCCACACAGTTGTTTTTAACGTGTCCGATTTAGAAAAATATTCTGTTAAATAGAAGCTAATAAATTAGGGTTTTTTATTCGCTACCGTGAAATCATCATTAGTATCGAAACTAAGATAACGTGACTTTATTTGATTATTTAATTACTTGATTACTTAAATATTATAAAACATGAATCCTTATTTTTTCTAAAGAATCACTTGCTTGTGCAATAGAAACAAAACATGCTTTTTGCTTATGATAAGTATAATGTCTTAAACTACAAAACTAGACTCATTAAAGAGCTTTCGGAATTAAATTTAATGTTTCCAAGAATACATGATTTAACACAGAATACCAATTTAACACAGATATGATGGATTTTGTACTCTTAACTAAAAGAACTCCTGGTTATACAGCATTAAGGTATTTTGTGTTTGTTTTAAGCTTTATAAAAGTTTTGTTTAATTAAAATAATATTACAAAATGGACCTACATCTATGTTGGATTTTAACTTTATTTATTGGTGTTTAACTAATTATTAACACATTTTACTACAGATTTATATTCATGATAATGTGTATGAAATTGAATTATTAAACACACAAATAAACTATAAAAGTGATTTAGTTTTTTAATGAGAAATTATGGTATATACTTAAATGTTATATTAGTAAAAAAAATAAAAAAAATTATAATAGTTAATCTATTTTTGTTTTGTTATTAATACTACACTTTAGTATATTATACTTATTATTCAATTTGAATATATTTTACTATTTTTCTCAGGTCTACTAAAAATGTCAATTGTCTTTATAGCACAGTATCTTTGATTTTAAATGACAGTAAGCATACTTCAAAAATTCTAAGATTACTGACATTAATTGAATTATTTGAAAGAATAAATTTTTACACATAATATGATTATTTTTTTCAACATAGATTTAGAATTTTCAGCTTTCTAAATTTGCTTTTTATTGCTGTTTTGTTTAACACGGCTGTTTCAAGGTGGACTTACGGCTTCTTGTTATTTTTTCAAAATAATTACTTAAGTGGTGTTACTAAAACTTGCATAACTTTTGAAATATTTAAGATAATTTCGTTCTGTAAAAAGAATATGAACACCATATAAATGTTTTATGTTATAACATTTAATGAAAGAATCAAAGACTGCTTTGATTTTCAAATAAATGCGATAAATGACGAACTTGGCTAAATTTCGAAATTTTCAAGGTACTTTTTAGCAAAAATAATCGGAAAAGTTATATTTCTGTTGAGTTATATGTAATATAAACATAGTTAGACCAATTTGAAAACATATATACTCAATTTACACCAAATGTGAACTGATACAGGCACTACAATTAGCGGGGAAAAAAAATACGCAAAAAATAATTTATTTTTTTAAAAAAAAACTATTTTTTTAAAAAGATTAAAAAAAAAGTTTTTATTTGTTTTTTCTTTCGGTCGTATAATTCTTTACACTTAGATTAATATTAATACTTTTCTGTAGAAAAATAACACACCATTTTTTTTATAAATATACTTAACAATAAAGGCAATTAAAAAAACTCGTTTTTGTGGATTGTCATAAATATATTTTTTTAAGTTAATATACTGGTATATGCTATATAAGTAGTAAATGATATTTGTACATGCAATTGGTATTAGTTTTATTTCCATTCCGTAACGAAAATACTCTTCATAATCTTGCTGAATTCTTATGTTATTCTAAAATTCCGCGTAACTTTGTTTACTTTATACCTGCAAAATTTATCTCGCCGAAACAGTTATTTCAATAAAATTCCTTAGTAAATAGCTTGGGAAGTAACGCAATAAAGTTACGTCATCGCTTAGAAATGTTAACATAAGTTTAAGCGTAAAATTAAATCAATTTGTTGTAAAACATGCCAAGTTTAAAAGCATATTCCCTAACATAGCAAGAGGTACATAAAATAATTTTTATATTTTCATCTGCATAAAAGGTCGAAATTTCAATAACTCGCGTCATCCATCAAAAAATTAATATTTTACATTTAAAAGAAATAAATTTAAAAATATAAATGCATTAAAAATTAGGTTATAGTAACAAAATCACACGGATGACGTAGGAATCTGATAGAATAGACATTCATTTATAAGTGTTCAAAATTTCAATCATCAACCATGCAGCTATGTTAGGGAATCTTGGTTGGCCCCAGACAGGTTTTTGGTAAAAATCGCCAAAAACAGAAAAGTCATCCAAAATCATTTAAAATATTTTAACAATGTTTATTTTTATTTCGCCTAAAGTAAATATTTATTTAACGAAGAAAGATAGTTATTGTAAATTTTTTTAATTTTAAGATTAAAACGTTTATAGAAAAAAAAAACCATTACTTTAAAGTTATTGAATTTTTATACTTTATATGCCGAAATTTTTAAAAAACTTTTTATGCGGAAATTGTTTTTGCTAAACTCGTGACGTAAGGCCCAATTTTACATTGCGTGAAACAGCCGTGTTAAATACACTGACAGTTTTTCAACAATTAGCGATAATATGATTTCTGAATGTCATCTTTCACTTGCCTAATAGCATTATATGATGTTCTAAAGCAACCTATTGAACCTATCTATGCTGATATTGGTTTCAAAAAATAATCGTAAATCATAGTTTTTTTAATACCCTTATAAAGCCTTGCATCCAAAAACTAAATTGTCCAATTAATATTTTGTTGTGCAATTTAGATAAAACAAAAAATAAAAGTGTTTTATGCTTTAAGCCAAATTATTTTGTGGCACTGGTTAAATATCTTCCCAAAAAATGACCAGCTGTTGTTATAAGTGATTCAAATATACTGAGCATCAAAAAATATAAATTTTTAAGATAACAAAATACAAAAACCAATTCAGTCTAAATTATTCTTTCCTACTGTTTCTAAGAACATTTCAGATAAGTCTGATATTTATTATAAAACAGTTAAAACTAAAATATTTATCTCAAAAGATCCCAACAGCAGTGATAAAAACACTCTTGAATCTAATGTTCCTCTAAAGAAAAACAATGTTTTTGAAATTGTTTATTAAATAAACATCAGTTAGCATCTTATTTAAACTATGACGATTCATCATATCATCTGTGTGGTAAAAAATCATCATATCATCTGTGTAGTGAAAATTTAAAATCAGGAACAAATGATAATGAAATGTTATCTTTAATAAATAGTCTAAGTTCCAGATAAATGTTTCCAATTCCCTTTAACAGGTAAAAGCAGAAAAAATGTCTTATTTTTTGCTAAAATGATTAGTTGACTTTTCTTTGCTTACTTTAAAATTTTACTCTAAAATTGAAGATGGTGCATATTGTCTTCCATGTACACTTTTTGGTACAAACATACCAAACAAATATGCATTATGTAAATTGTTTAAAAAACCATTCAATACCTGACGTAATGCTATAAAAGATTTAAACGATCATGAGAAAACTGTTGACAGATTACATATCAATCCATACATTGTTATAATATGCTTTTATCTAGAACTAAAATTAACACTTTTCCTATTGAAGTTTTTCAAGATATTTCTAGGAAGTAGCATATAGAAGAAAACAAAAAAAAAGCTTGAATCAATTGTTAAGACTATAATATTTTTAGGTTGAAATGATATACCTCTACAAGGTCATAGAGACGATAAAAAATGCCAAGGAGAAATTGGAGAAACTTCAAATATTACAGGGATGGGTAATTTTATTGAGCTTTTAAACTTTAGAGTTGATGAAAGTGATTTAATTCTAAAGGAATCTTCTCTCTGCTCCCAAAAATTCTACATACATTTCAAAGACCATTCAAAATGAGTTAATTAAGTGTTGTGGAAATGCAAATGAAGAAATTCTATTAAATGATATTAAAAAAAGTAA